AGTGTGTGTGTGTGTGTGTGTGTGTGTGTGTGTGTGTGTGTGTGTGTGTGTGTGTGTGTGTGTGTGTCATTAATGAATGAGTGTATGAGGAGGAGGTAAATACTATATAATTGCTTTGACAAGAGTCATCTTGCCCAGCATTTTCTATCAGCACAAGAATGTGATACTTGGGTGCTTAGGCATTATAGAACCGGTTATGGAGGTGCTTTCTGCTTTAGTAACAAGACCAGTTGGGTCTGTTATTTAAGGCTTGTATGTGATCATAAGACACTGGTGGACTTCGATGTGGTTCTTCTGCATAACAGCATTTTTATTGTTACTAGAAGGGATGATAGTTTGAGCTCGATACAGATTGGTTTTCCTTTCTCCACTCAAACTTCCCTCTTTGCTTTCCTCTCACCACAAGAGCTGCTCCATCAGACACATGTGTGCACTATCAGCCAGATGCTGGGTGGTTCGGATGGGCCTACCATGCCTCTATGGTGCAGCAGAGTATCACAATGAAAAGCCATATAACTAATTGCTCACTTCCACAAAGATGGCTCCCTTGGCTTAGCCAAAGGGTCCCCCGGGGAAGCCAGTTGTATATACATGACCAATAAAATAACCATCATTAAAAACAAGAACTCGATCAGTTTTAGCCACCCGATGCCGCGGCTCACAGTAAGTTTGGATGTAATCGCCGTGTCCAACTGCCTCCGCTATATCCTGTCCTAAGTCCTTCACAGTTCCCTAGAGATCCCCTGCTCCAGACCGTTAAGTGTTCCTTTCAAACCTCGCCTGCACAACTCACTGTAAGCGTAAGGAGAGCGGTCAAAACTCTCCCGCATCGGTGCACGGCCAGCGCGAGAGCCCTGCTCATCCACATCCCTTGCCTCCTTTGGTTTAGGTCATGGGTTTTGTTTGATTGATAGATCTATTTAATTCTAGGAGAGGTTTCCCAGGCTGGTCCAAGCCAGAGGGATCAATATGGGGTGGTGCCTTCCCATTCCACCAAATATTGGACTTTCCCCTCCGGAGTCACCCTGCGGGCTAGCACCTGGTACTTCTCCCCACACACCAGCCTGCCGGCTGCTCCAAAGTAGTTGGTGATGGAGGACTTGAGGTGGGAGAGAGAGGAGTCGTCCTCGCTGATGCTCTCCAAGGTGTGGCTGTCAATCCCATCATCCTGGCGCTCCGGGGCACAGGCCGCCTCACTGCTCTCTGAGGCGCAGCTGTTCAGGTGCCCGCCTTGTTCAATGCCTTTTCTCTTCCCCCCCACTGGGGCGTAGGCTTTAGCCGCCAGCTTTCGTTTCCGGCTGCCCACGTTCCTTCTGCTAGGGGAGGAGAGAGAGAGAGAGAGAGAGAGAAGGGGATGGGGATAAGAGAAATGCTGGCAAAAGGAAACTACAATGCAGCAGCTCTGGCCCTTAGACAAGACACGTGCCTGGTGATATCAAGAGCTCTTGACCCACAGGGCCCTGCACTGAGCCAGCCAAGTAGGGAGCTGGAGGATGTTTACTAATGAAAGCGAGTGAGTTTCCCGTCCCAGCTGCTGTGAGACTTTCCGTGCACCAAGAAGCGAAGTGCCAGGTTTTGGGCCATTAGCCACCATCCAGGAGCTAATAATCCAAGGCTCAAATTAGTAGGAAGAGAGGCAGCTCCCCTTGCTAGGATAACTGTTGGGGAGTTACAGGACAGGAAGGCATGGTCTAGTGGTTAGACCCTGGGCTGGTTATCGGGACTCCTGGGTTCTAGTCTTGCCTCTGCCACTGATTGTTTATCGTATCAGACTCATCTCTGAATTGGGCTCATAACTTCTGTAACTCAGGCACTGGAAGAAGGTTGAAGTTACATTGGCTTAGACTCCCAAAGGTTGGTTATGGTTATGTCTACATGGCACAAAAGACACCACAGCAGGAAGTCTCAGAGCCCAGGTCAACTGGCTCAGGCTCACAGGGCTAAAAACAGCAGTATGGGCGCTCAGACTCTGGCTAGAGTCTGGAAATCCAATGAGAGGGGAGGGTCTCGGAGCCCGGGCTCCAGCCCATGTCCGAACAGCTACGCTATTTTTAGCCCTGTAGTGCGAGACTTGCGAGCCTGTTGACGCAGGCAGAGATTCACTGCCGTGGGTCTCTTTGCTGTGTAGACATATCCTAGTACTCCTCTCTCAACATGGCCCCCTGTGCCTAGAGGGACCCATTTCAGCAACGATGCTAATGCCAGCTTCCCCAGGGGCTCGTGAGCTTTAATCCATTTATTTGTGTGAAGTGCTTCAGCAGGGCTCTGCAAGGGCAGGAGACATCCCATGGAGATGGCTAGGCAGAGTGGAGGTGTTCAGTAAAGCTGCCAGTTCATTAATAACGAGTCTTTCTGTCCCTACGAATGTAAAAGCACCCATCAGCTCCAGGTAAGCCAAGGGTAGTTTTGCTTACCGAGGAATGCAGGGCCACTCCTTCTGCATTAACCACAGTGCTTCCCTCACCCCACCAAGGAGATGGCAGGAAAATAGGCAGTTTTATTTAATGACCTCAAATAGGCACCAAACACCAAACAAACTGGCCGCCAGCTGTGGGCATCAACTGTACAGTGGGCGGAGTCCCCAAGACAAGGAATCCTTATTGCCAGGTGACCTGGGACCAGCTTCTTCGCAGCGTATCCTTGTGAAGAGATTTAAAAAATAGAAACTGGGTTTTCCTGCAGCCAGGCACGTACATCTGGTGATGGTCTCCAGTGAATTAGTGTCCGGTTTGCTTAGGGTCAGGGCAGAGACAGAGAAAGATGAGCAATACTTGGAAATACTCTGGGTGCAGAGCAGTTGGAGGCAGCATGGCCAGCCCTGAGAGAGACTGCAGGGAAGAGAGAAGTCCAGGATAACTTCCAATGACCGATCACTCTACCTAAGCCAGAGGTTGGAAGGACAGGGTGAATGGAGAGTTCATGAGGATCACGTCAAGGGTTGGAAAAACAAAGGGGATTAAAAGAAAGCAGTCAAGTGCAGTCAAGATCAATGCAAAATCAAAGGGCAAAAACCTCGTCTCAGCCCCTCCCCTCCCCTTACCTCGATTCATAAGACAGGCTCGTTATCGCAGAGCCAGATGTGCTGGCAGCATCTGTGGAATCCAGGTCAGAAAGAAAAGTCTGCCCTGAGCTGGCACTGAAAGGGAAAGAGACCAAAGTCAGCCCTGGCCAGACCTCAGCCACTGTGTGAGCCCAGCATTTCCAGCTGCGTCAGTAGCAGATGCCCTTCTGCGTACGTACAGGACCCGGCTCCAAACAAAACGCCAGCTAAAACATGCAGCCTGTTTGGGGACATTCAGGAGAGCAGCAGCGTGCGTCTCTATCAGGACAGCCAGGGGGACCTGCACGGTGTTAGTTAAAGGCCCAGAAGTCAGACAGGAACATAGTAACCAGCGCAGACCCCTAGGACTTCCAGAGCTGCCAGGATGGGGCTTTCACCAGCAGCCAGCAAGGGCTCCCCACCCCCCTGCTTCCATTTCCCAACAGGGCACAAGTAGATTAGCTGGTGCCCACTGAAAATCTTGATTCCTCATATAAATCTGGAACTGGAGATTTGTCCGATTAAGCCCCTCAAACATCTTTCGCCTTTGGGCATCTCTCCTCTCCCCAGCACGCAAGGGAGTGAAGAGGGCAACCCCCGAATCACGGTGATGGCTACCCCCGGCATGGCAAAGTGCGGAGACGCATGCACAGAAACCCAACGTGCTTTCTTCTTACCATCAGGCATTACTGCCCCCGGGACAGATATGCCATTTACCTTTTTAAGCTCTGAATTTCATCCAGTGTAAAGTCAAATATGCTGGCCAGGTGGTGGTTTGTGCTCCAAGCCGAGGTGAAGTCACTCTGCATTGCAAAAAGGAGTATATTCATGAGCTGACAGCAGGCCATCACTCGGTGTGAGCAATCACAGCCAGCGTTTCCTACCCCGGTTGGCCTCCCGCTTCCATCTCCTGCACACTCTGAGATGACCTGTGCTTTGGACGGTCCCTTACCCCTCTGCAGAGCAGGCATGCAGAAAGCTGCCGTTTGGAGCTGGGCGCAGTTGGAGGGTTGTGGGGAATCCCATCCATTCTTTTTTTAAAGGCACCTTTTTCATTAAAAATAATAAAGTGCCCCATGCCAGCTGAGACATTTTCCCTGGTTCTCGTCTGTAACTGAGAAGCCGTGAGGGCGTTTGGAAGGATGGGGGGACAATTATACTGGACGCAGCTGAGGATGTCAAAGTCTTTTACAATGGTTTAATCAATTTTTACACCTCATGCTGGCAGAGACCAAGTCTCACAGCAAGTCAGTGGCAAACCCTGTAACAGAACCCGAGACACGCAACTTTCATCCCAGTGCTCTAGCCACCAGAAGACACTTAAACAAAGAGACGTATTTGGAACTCCCTGCTCTGAGCCTCTTGTTACTGGCATCAGAAGGCTGGTTTGTGGCCAGCAGGGCAAGCTTTCAAATTGGCACTTTGATCCTGCCTTTATTAGTCATCTCTGCCTGGGGAGCGCGCAGCCTATGACGGATGGAAAAACAGCGCATTGGGGAAAGCACTCAAGCCTCCTAAATGGTCTGTTGGTAGCAGCAGCACAGGGATCTTGCCCAGTTCCGTGTTGGAAAAACAAAAAGCAAACAACTTCAATAATTCACCCCTGAAAAACAACATCATGGATAGTAACAAAAGAAAGAGTAGCGAGAAACTAACACTGGGAATAGCATCCTCCAACAAAAATTTTGATCTTTTTCTTCTAGCAACTCGCCTTTTCTGCTGTTGAAATTCATGCGGCAGCAAACTGTGAAAGCAAAGAACAAACACAAACAAAGAACAATGAGAGTCAGACTTGCTTGGAGGCTGCAAATCACGTAACAGGCCTGAGGGGGGGTGTATAGAGAACGTCTATTTTGGTTCCAAGCAGCCAGGGAGAATCCTAGGGTGGGGAGTGTGGTCTTTTGAAAACTGTAACATTTACGAGCGGTCGTTTGAAATCCTAGTCCTGCTTGCAGCCTAGGGGGCTCTGGAGAGAAGTGTGAGACCAGGGCTTAGTAGTCAGTTTGCAAAGAGCCAGTTACAATAAGGTGGTGTGAGTTGTGGCTTCTGTTTTATGGAGCAGCCTGGTTTGTTTCTCTCTGGTTTGGGGTTCTTGTGTGTTCTGAATTCTAAGGAATAAAATAATGTTACACTGCAACTGTCCAGAAAGAGGGTCTATGTTTTTCATCTAATTTCTCTGTTTGTATGCTGTGAAACAGAGACAATTATCAAGAGAGCCCAGGAAAGCTGCTTTACTGTAGTGGCTGGGAAAGAACTGGAGAATGCTGCACAACCCAGGGGACCCCATGACTTATCATTTCTGTGCCAGAGTTTAAGACAGAAGTGGACATTCTATGGAGGGAAAGCTCAAAGGGTTTATGGGGAAGCCAGTTTTCTTAAGAGGACCGATGCGGAGGAGGAGAGGACAGTGTGAAGTGAAAGCGTGGACACAGACCCGTTTTTATGGGCGTATTTGCTTTTTCCTCTCTTCTTCAGCTCAGAAGCTCCATTCTCACCCAAACCTGGTACTTTCTCTGGCAGGAGCTTGCTTGGGGGGTTTGGCGGGACACGAATTCGCAGGCGAAAGATGCATTTCTTCTTCTTGATTTCCTTACCGCACAAAAATCTAGAGGGCAGAAGATACAAATCCCCTCATGATCTATTGATTTTTAAGCTCTGAATGGGAGTCTTCATGGCCAATTCTTCCCCTCTACCATCCATCCTACCTCAACACCTAAACCCTGCAAACCCAGTCATTTCAGCCCCTCCAGCTTCCCCACACCTGCTGAAGCTGAAATGTTGCAAACAGTCCCCTCGCCCAGGCTCACCTGCTTTTGTAGCTGTTGAGTGCATTGAGCAGGTGTGGAGCACGTTCTGAGGCCGGAGTGCTGGTCAGCTGGGATAAAGCATTGGCCAAAAGGTCATTTCAGTAACTTGAAGAGATGATCAGCAAAGCACAGAGCACACACTGGCTAGAGAGCTCGTTAGAGTCACCAGGGTTATTCTGAACTTAAACCAATGGGGGAGCCCATGCTACAGTTTTCTGCTCTGGTCTAAGCAGGTTTGATCATAAAGCTCAGAAACGCACAGCCAACAAAACCCCACAGACCTCCAGGATGCAAACGCTCAGGCCCTGTTTATTGTTTGGACATCAGCGCGCCGGGTTCCTAAGACAGTTAAAATCCCTCCTCTTGCTTTGCTCTATTTATTTATTTTTTTAAACGAATGACGGTTGCAATTACTTCCTGCACGTCACTGGGCCTGGACAGCAAAACTAGTCTTGTCCATTTCCCTCTGGTTCTCACACACCGCCACAAGGCTGGCACGGGGAGGTTAGGACCGGGGTTCTCAACCTTTCTTTCTCAGGCCCCCCAAACAGGCTATAAAAACTCCGTGGCCCACCTGTGCCACAACATCTGGTTTTCTGCATATAAAAGCCAGGGCCGGCGTTAAGGGGTCGCAAGCGGGGCAATTGCCCAGGGTCTCATGCCACAGGGGGCACCGTGAAGCTACGTTGCTCAGGGCCCCAGACTTCAGCGTTGCAATGGTTAAGCAGCCCTTCCCCAGGCTGTTTGGAAAGCCACCAGCAGCCCTGCCCGACGAATCAGCTGCCTTGGGGACTACAGTCAACACCGTCCACCCATAAAACCCAGCTCCTCTGCCAGCCGGGGAGCTGCCGGATGGAATCCATGCCAGGGTGGTTACAGTGGGCAGGCAGAATGAGAGTGCCAATCTTGCAAGCTCCGGTAATGCCCTCTGTCTCCCGAATTGCCCTGCACACGGTCATTGACTAAACGATTACCACAAACCCTGCAGTGCCCGGGCACCTTGTACAAACACCTGCTAATGATTTGCTTCTAAGCTGGCAACAAACCACGTCCATCCAGAGCCACAAAATCCACCCCACTGTGGCAAACCCCCCTGGGCCCCCAAGGAAGAGTCAGGCAAAGGCGGTTTTATACCTCCTACCCTGTGCCCCTCAAGGAAGCACACAGAAAGGCGACTGTCCCAGCCTCCCTGTTCCAATCCTTTGCCAACGAGTGCCATTAAAATGCATCCTGCTGTTTATGGGTCCTTCCCACTAATAGAGACACCCAGAGTGCAAAGAGACACAGCTTCTCACCTCGGGATTTCGCTATTAAACACACCTGAATTCACCTCTCTCTCTGAGTGACACTCGGGAGCTTCCCCTTTTGCTGTCTGAGCAGACAGGAACAGAGGCTCCCAAAGAAACCCTGGATTTATTTTCTTTGGAGTCAGCCTGGCCTCATTCCTGGCTTTAAGGGGTGGATGGTCCATGCGTCACTTCCCCTGCAGCCGCCTCTCATTCCCTCCGAGCTGCCTTCCCCCATCCCATCCCAGGCCCCAGGTGTGTACCTTTCCGAGCTGTAAAGGATCCCAGTGGTGATTCACAAAGGCTAGGATTTCCTCAAAGTCGAAGTACTTCTTTTTGCTCTGGACGCCCAGATTATAGAGGGCCAGGTGGACAACGTCGACCCTGCGGGAGCAAAGGCGCAAGAGCAGCTGAGACTCTGCAGGCCCCACTTAGGCCAGGAGCTGCTTTCAGATGCACTTGCATTTACTTCAGGTTTGCAACCCTGAGCTTCCTGCTCTGGCTTTGCCATCCCCATGGCAGCTGCCTTCTCCCCACTCCTGCCATCCTCCTCTGATCCTACTCCAAGTAACCCCTTGGATGCGCAGGGGGTCTGCTGGATGGATTCTACATGGCTGATAGCAGAGCAGGGGGAGAAAGTCGCCTGTCCCTTCCCCGGAGCTGCCATTCTGCAGGCAGTAGCAGACGTGTCCTCTCAATGATCTGTGCGATAGACAGGAATGGAAACCCAGTGGTGCATCCTGCACTATGGAGAAGGCTTGAGACCAGATCGCGTTAATCCGCAGCATGGGACGCTGGCTAGGCATGGACAGAGCGCCCCATTGTAGCTGCTGCGCAGGTCTGGAGAGTCATGGCAGGTTCCATTGTATTTGCACATGCACAACAGTGGATTAGAGGAATGACTCAAGGGCTGGTTTAAATCTGTCAAAGGGGAGCCAGGAAAAGGAGGATTAAGTGGCTGTTAAGTTGACCTGTTTGGCAAAATCCTGCAAAGGACTCTGCTTGCGGGGAGCTTTGCCACGGGCTGAAATACCCGAGCCCCACCGGGCTGGCGAACCTGCGGAGTGCCAGGATTCAGTCCTAATTTCCTGGCTTTCTGTCAGTTTCAGCCACATGCTCAGTGCTACAGTGAAAGTAGAGGGGAGGGGGATTCCTGGCTGATCGAATATTAGCTGAAAAACAAAAGTGCGGGAGGCTGGCAGCTGGCCGCAGAGGCTCCTAGTCACATCAAAATAGGTCCTGGCTGTATTTACATCCTGCCTCCCTGGAAACAAATCCCCCGTTATATACGGTATCCCTCTATCCCTGTTCTAAACCAGCTGTACAGCATGGGCATACCCCGTTCACCAGCTACTGTACTTCACCCCAGAGGGGGCTGCATTTCAGTGGCTGGTTAAACAAGGTCTGTATATCCTTGACATACTTCACAGCGGGGGATTGTGGGAATTCATTAATATAAACGTGTAAAGCTTTTTGAGAGCCTCAGATAAGAAGCCCTAGAGAAGGGGAAAGTGTTATTTATCCTCTGACCTATAATGTCTCTGCTATATAAACTTGCACTTAATCCCTTAACTAAAGAGAGAGACATGTGGCCAGATCACCTGGGTGACTTATCTGCTGGCAAATATGTACTTTGGCTCACATACAATAGGGCAAGCATGCAGCATGGATCCAGCCTCCTTAGAAGTCAATGCCGCACAGCTTGACTCCCAGAGCAAGGTGTGCTCAGGAGAAGCCCCGGCCTGGCTTGCAGGTCAGAAAAGAGGCTCAGAACAGAACTAGCCAGGGCCAGTTCCGATGATGCCTCCAAAGCTGCAAAGATCCTGGCAACCTCCCTGCACCAGGGAGAGGGTGAAATGCCAGTGTGAGGCTCCTGTACTAGGTAGGATGATAGACAAGCTGATTCCCTTTGACCAGGAGCTCCACAGTTGTGGAGCACAAAGGAAGGTCAGGAGCCTCCCCATTTAGGGCACAAAACAAATCACCCTCTTTCTGCTTATCAGGAAACTTCCATCCACTAGTCCCTAACTGACTCCACAAACACATGCACCAGTTTTAGGTGCAAGGCCTATTCCCCTGGGGACGGAACCACCCTCCAGCTTGCCTGGCACAGGTTGATCACTGAAGATCACACATTGAATCCCAGATTAGCTTGAGCTAGCCATGGAAATAAGGGGTGCTGGAGGTCAGAGTGAACTGCTTCAGCAGGATTACAAGTGAGGGGTCTGGGATTGGAACAACACGGGTAGCAGTTCTGCAGGTTGGGATTTAGGGGCAACAGCAAAGCTGTGTGCGGCGCCCTGGGCTGGAAGAGCAGGTCAGGACGCAAGGGGCAGAAACATTTTCACGCACCCTTAACTATAAAATAAATCATGGGCACACCAATAAATGCAAATGGCCCCTCCACACAGATCCCCAAAGCTTTGGGGGGGAAGGGGCCCTCGCCCGGGGATGCTCACGAGACTGGAGCTCAGGACACGGTGAGCTGGACGTTCGGCGGGGCTGCATCGGCTCACACGGGCTGGGATTGCGGCTGCTCAGCGACTTTAAGAGCCAGGCCCGTTGGTTTTTAAAAACGCGTGTGAGATCAGGCTGCTGGGCCAAGTAACTGCATGAAGACGCAGCTTCAGTTCAACGCGCAGCTTAGGCGGGCATGGAGATGCCATTAACAGGGGAACCCTGGGGACTTCCACATTCAGCACTCATCCTCCTCCAGCATAAGCCCAGGGCCTGCTGCATGCAGGACAGAAGGGGGAGAGCCACGAGGCCCAGGAAGGATAAATGGTGCCTGATTATCAAACTGCTGGTCAGGGAGCCAGGTGGGCTGAGCGGGGTTCTGTTCCCACCCCCGAACTGCACAGAAAGTTCCCACAGGGAAGAGACAGCTGAAGACACTTCACTCTGCACTCGGAGGGGCACCAAGGGGAAAGGAAGCCATTAGACACCCGCTTCTACTGTGTATTATACTCCATAAAGTAAAGATCCTCTCAGAGACGCTGGCCCCCTGTCCCTCTCCATGCTGATCCCACCCTTCCTGCAGCAGCCGTAAATAGCGCTCCGGTATAGGGGACAATATCAAGGCAATGACCTCGCTCTGCTGCCGCATGTGCATCTGCTTGGCTACGGCTCTTCCAAGGGACAGTTACAACCCTGGGCCACGTGGAGGCGCTTCGTAGACCCTGCAGTTCCAGGGACAACTCTGAAAGTCCCTGACCGAGCGAGAGAGAAACTCAGATGGAGGCTGGCAGCCCAGGAGTCAGGGCTTCGCCCCGCCAGTTGGGAGCCCCAACTTCCAGCCCTGATCTCTTGATCCCAAAGTGACTACTCGCCAACTCTTACCATCTCAAGGGCAGGCGCTTGATGTATTCTGGCCCCTGGTTACACACTGCACAGAAAAAAATATAAAACCTGAAAAAGAGAGAGAGAGAAACACATGGTAAGGTAGGGGGCAGCTCAGAAGGGGGATGGATTTGGGCTCATCTCTCCGACAGACAGCCTGAGACTCTGGCTTGTGGAGTGGCGGCCACCAGCCCATCCTCCCCAAAGGGCAGCAGGTCTCAGCATTGCAGCAGGATCGTCTGTGCTCATGTGGGGCAATCATTGCGGTAGAATCCATCCCCCTGCACGTGCCAGGCTGTGTTCTCCTCTGGCCCGGACTGGGGTCAAAGTCACTCCGCTCCCCCGGGCAACGCTTGCAGGCTTCACTCCTTCCTCTAGCCCCTTTTGGAGTCCTGCCCCTGCCCCGCTCCCTTCCTCAGCTGCAGAGAAGGTCCCTGCAGAGCCCAGAAATTCAGCCCTTTGGGTCAGCCAGAGGGGGTTGCTAGAGAGGAACCGAAGTGCCCCTCTGCCTGCTGGGCTGGGTAGGCAGAATCCAACCCCAGCGTGGCACTCTCCTCTGCCTACCACACATGGCTGTGAGATGTGCCATCAGTGCCCGGGGAGGGGACGACGGGCTCGTGTGCCTGCCTCTGCACTGGTGTGGCGTGGCCCAGCCCGGCCCATGCCAGTTGCTTCAGATCAGCGGAGCAAAGCCATTCTCTCTGCTGTGCCTGGCAGAGTCTCCTGGCTGGCAGGCTGCCGGCCAGAACGCTCCCTGACTGCGCAGGGTTGGGGGGTTAGAAATGAATGAGGCGCGATCTCCCAGCTATGGACCCCCCACCGCACACAAAGGGGCAAGGACTCTTCTTCCCCACACAGCCAGAGAATGCACCACCTGGGGCTTGTCCACACACACGCGCACACTTAGTGTGCAGCAAGCGGGGTGCAGATCTGCTCCGCATTAGCCGGCCATGTGCCCATGCAGGCCCCGCTGCTGCACACAAACAGTTCCCCAGGGGGCTTCCATATCCCACTCGGGAACTGCTAGTGCGCAGCAGCAGGGTCCCCGTGCCCGGCAAGCTGGAGCAGGGCAGACTTGCACCCCGGCTTGCCATGCTCTGAGTGTCCATGTAGACAAGGCGGAGGGAGAGACTCGCTCAGTCAGTGAACTCAGACCGGCAGCTCTCTCCGGACCACCACTTGCTGGAATCCAGCAGCCCTCGGCCAAGCGACCAGGCAGGATTTCAGCTGAGCAGCAATTCCCAGGACACCTGAAGGAAGCCGATCGCCTGGGATGAAGAGACCCAACCCCACGGATTCCAGCTGCTCCCAACGCAGCTGTGAGCGTGTTAACAGTCAGCTGGGGGAGGACATACAGACTGACCAATTCACAACTCTGGCTCGACCCTCAGGGATGCACGGAACAAACCAGGGCGAGCTGGGGAAGGACGTACCGGTCTCCAAACATCATGGGGTCGCTAAGGCACTGCGTGCAGGCCTCGTGGAACCACTGCCTGCAACTGTAACACTGCAGCATCTTCAGGTACCATCTGGGAAGAGAGACCAGAGTTCAGCACTCTCGGAGGTGGCACGAGGTGCATTAGGACCAGATCCCCTTTGCTATACATGGTGCCCTACAGGTGAATGGAGAAAATTCTCAATGGTGCGGGCGTTGACACCGGGACAAAGTAAGTGTGCAAAATGGGTGTGCAACGCTCCCCAAACGGGAATGGTAAAATTTCATACCCCCTCCACACTGGTGGAAATGAAGGCGCGAGGCGCAGGACAGTGGAGAATCAGGCCTCCTGGGTCTGGGTTTGTAATGTTGCAGGGGAAAGGCTGTATTTGAAAAAAAACCGCCACTGACATTTACATTAAAAACGGGAAACAGGGGGTCCAGGTGGAGTTTTCGAAGGAGGCAAAGAAGTCAGCCAGCCCCACTGAACTGCCATGGGAGCTGGGCACTTAACCAGGGGCTCCTTGGAAGATCCCAGATTCTACCCGGACCTGGATTTCCCAACAATATTTTTTATCAAATGTAAGTTGAGTAACTAAAGCTACTTGGTCACAACCTTTCACGCTATGGTATGTTGATCACACGGATACCCTCACACCTCAGCAGCTGGCTTTCCTAGCAGCCTCTCCCAGTTAAGCACACAGGAAGCCTCACTGCAAATGCACCGCGCAGCAGCTCTCTAGATGGTTATTTTGGTTGTCCGTGACTTTCCCCAACTGGGTTATTTTCAGATGGGGGATTCCCACCTGCAGCTTGTTATTACAGCGAGGGAAAGCAGCTCTGCAACCCATCGCCTTCCTCCCGGGGACAGGGCACCCTGCTCAGACGACACATTCAGGGGGAAATAGGAAACGCTGCCAAATCAGAACCCTGACATGCTTATTGGGCGAAAACTGCACCCTCAAAAAAGCCTTCCCCGGGAACTGACCTTCTATCTCACACTTGCCCTAGGGAGGAAGGATGGCCTGGTGGTTAAGGTAATGGACTGGGACACCAGTCCCAGGCTTTATAACAGTCTTCCTCTGTGTTTGTGGGCAAGCCCTCAGCTCTGTGCCCTAGTGCCCCATCTATACGGCTGGGATAAGGACACGTCCTTTGCCCGTCTTGTCTATTTAGATTGGAACTTTCAGTGTGCCAGGCTCGGTCTCTGCCTCTGGCTTTGTATCATGCCTAGCACAACTGGGCCCTGATCTCAGCTGCTGCCATGATACAAAGATCAAAAACAGGCCAGGGCATCAGTCTGTGCCAGCTAGCTCCGTTTCTCTCCCTCACCGAGCCGAGGTGGTGTTAGAGTAACACTGAACAGCCCGGCTCGTGTGGACTGAAGTGCTGCTTGAGTCTGAACAGTGACTGAAATCGAAGCGGCCCTGGTTTGCTTCCTGGGAGTATTCTGTCCCCCCCGACTGTCTCGCTCTCCCTGGCCCTGCTCAGCAAACGGTTATGGGAGAGGGAGCTGGGTTCTCGTCTGGCTCATGCATCAGCCACAGAGTTGGTAAGTAAGGCCCGGATGCTGCCATCGGAGCCACTCGCATAGATCCCTGCCGCTGTGCAGGCCCAGCTGAGCCCACAGGGACACGGCTGTCTCGGGTATACTGGAGGAGGGGGCACATCACACCATTAAAAGTCTGATCTTCGATAGCCACAAGTGCAGTGTAATAAGTTTGGGACCTTACTCTCCAGGGCCCCCGCAGTAACAGTAACACTGCTGCGGATTGGTCCTGTGCAGAGAATCCCATTCCAGCTGCTCCGGGTTGTAGGACAGCACCATCTTGACGGCTTGCAGCGTCTTGGCGATGGCTCCCTTCTTCAGGGCGCCCCCTTTCTGCAGGACCAACCAGAACACAGGGTCAGCACAGCCATGCACGAGGAAGCTTGTCACTAGGGGCGTGAACCTGGCCCATTGAAAGCAATGGGCATTTTGCCATCAGCCGCGAGGACGCAGGTTTGGCAGCAGCATGAAAGGAGCTCATGGTCAGAGCAGGGGGCCGAGAGTCAGGGTGCTCTGGCACTGGACTAGCCCAAGGCTGCCCAGCAGTTACCTCCCCTCTCTGTGCCTCAGTTTTCCCACCTGCAAAATGGGTGTCATACCCAGCGGGGGCATGGAAACAAATCCATGAGGGTAAAGCCCAATGAGCCTCTTCTAACAAAGGTGCTGAAGGAGTGCTGGGCTGCACAACTGCAACTCCTGCCAGACACTCACGCTGCTGCTCCCATAATGTCAGTTCAGCCGTAGCTGAAAACATGTCCTCTTTCCCTGCTATTGCATTCCTGAATTCCCCACTCCTCTACTTCCAGTATTTGCAATCCCCTAGTGTTACATCAGCCTGGGGTTCCTGTCAGCCGATGGTCACCAGAGGGCCAACAACTGCAGCTGTCTCTATGTCTGGGTTCCCTAGCAAGAGATTCCTTAAAAGGGCCCAATCTGCACAGGGCAGAGGGTCAGCACTCTCTGAAAAGCAGGCCCCTTTGAAGGGCAGCAGCTGGGCAGGCCCCCCAGATCACTAGTCACTTTTGAAAATTTAGATCTTCTCGTCCAGGACCTCAATCCCCGTGAAAGGTACTGTGTAAATCAATCCGTCATGGAATACAGCTACTGGGGCAAAGAGAAGCGAGTGCCAGGGAAAGCCTGGGATTTGAATTTCTCTTTACACTGATATAGGCCTGGCGGTGCTCCCTCCAGAAGTCGGAGGGTGCAGGGCTGAGCTCTGTGGCTTAAGCCCATCTCTGCTCCATAAGCCTGACATGGGCACCGGTAGCAATGAGGACCTCTCAGGAGGGCTTTCTGGCCACTGACGCCCGCTGGCAGGAGCTGGGGGCTGGAGTGAAAGGGAACGAAGCGGTTGTACAGGAGCACGCCATGGAGGCGGGGAACATGGCGTTAAGTCCCTTTCCCCTGTTAAAATGGGCAGGTCCCAGGAGTAACAGTCACTTTTTAATGTTTTCCAGGATTTTCCCCAGTTATTTCAGCTGAGACCTCGACTGAGCTGTGACTTCCCCGCTGCAGCACGGCTTCCTTCTGCCAGCTTGGCTGGTGCAAAGGCCAGTAAATTCCCTCCGTGCAGCAGGGCCCCCCTGCCAGGCACAGGGGCAGCTAGGCCAGCCCTGCAGGAGCTCTCCCTGCCCCCACGTGGGGGGCACAGCCAAGGTGAATCCTGAGGATTCTGTGCCCTGCCACGGGGCACAAGTTAGGGTGGGCTTCCAGAGGCAGCAGCGGATGCTGAACCAGCAGCCCCCGAGCAGGGGCGATGCAAACTAGCTCCCTTCTGTCCCTGCACAGAGAGGGGGATCCTGCCCCCTTGCCATCGGCTACAAAGGATTTCATCCCTCCATAGGAATGCAGGGCTCTTCTGCCCAGTCCCCCTAAGCTAACCCCTGCACCAAGAGCCAGGGTAAGTCCAGCGCAGTCAGCCACTCACTGCAGAGTTTGCCCAGCAAACATCACCTGGCAGGGCAGGTTCTTGTTGGGGTTGGCAGCCCCCGGAAGGGAAGGAGTTAACTTGTAACTGCCACACCCACAGAACCAAAACGGACCAGAGACCTGGCGAGCAGGACAGCGAGCCTCACTCACCCGTACAGCCAGGGCAAATATACATCTCCGACAAAACCAGGGCGTCAGCACGGGGCCGTCGCTGCTGTCCACCACCGGGATGTGGCACTGCTGGTGATAACCTGGAGGGGGGACAATCAGTGTACAGCGAGCCAAGAGCCTTCTGGGAGCACAGAGACTAGCTGGCCAATGAGAAGGCAGTGGTTGTGTGTGCACAGGTGCGGCATAGCCACAAAACACACACAATAACAGCAGCCACTAATGATTGGCCACAGGTCGTGGAAGAGGATTAAGCGGTATCCTGTAGCCCCGACTGGCTAACGCCAGGTTCTCCCTGCCAGAGAAAGGCCAGCCTGGAGCTCAGCACGCATCCAGCATTAACGACACAGCTCCCCTGCAGCCGGCATATTACAGCCATGGGTAACCTGGGGGTTTCAATGAACCAAGAGGAAACATTAGCTGCATCCCATCCCCCGTAAACATACACTCCCCACAGACACCCATTCACGGCCCCACTCATCCTGCCAAATATATACACACCACACACGCCCTCCATTCATCCCCTGCAAACACCCCTGCCCGCTACCGCCCCCCATGCACACGCATTTATCCTCCCCAAACGTACACGCAGCCCCATGCAGCCCACCCCCTGATCATTCTCCCAAACGTACACGCACTCAGCTCACAACCACATACGAAACGTCACATTACTCCTCGGCTGCTTTCTGCGGTTCTAACGTGTCTTGCAGCAGTACTGGGACCCCAAAGCCAACGGGGATTCTGCCGGAGAGTGGCCACGCTGGGCACCTGACTTTCAGCGACTGCCACCTGTTTTCACTGTCTGTCAGAGGGACACATGGCGCCATACTGGGGAAAGAGCCAGCTCTGCTCACCAGGTATCCCTTATTAATTAACTCTAAGTATCAGCTTAGTGTAAAAGGGGACAAGCGGATCCCCCGCTCCTCCATCCTGGTCTGCTACTCTGTGAGAAAAGGGCTGCCAAGTGTGCCAAGTTCATTTTCTCCTTCCCTCCCGAGCAATGACATTGGGGCCCTTCAGGGCCAGAAAACACAAAAAATGAAAGCCACCATCACTGCCAGGGTCAGCCAGAGATGTCAAAGCAAGGCAGCCATGCTCTCTCGCCGCACAGAGCCTGCAGGAGGGAGACGAGGCCTGCTGGGCCCCTCTCCGCTTTGAGAAGAGCATCGGAATCCGAAGCAGTTTCCACAGTCCGTGGGGCATCACACTCCACCCGGAGCAGCACTCGTTCTTACCGAGACCACATTTTCCACAGATGAGGATTTCGTTCAGGGGCCCTGATGTCTTTCCCAGGCAGATGTTACACTTCGGCTCTTCTCCAGGGACACCAGCTAAAAAAAAGAGCAAGACAGCAGTGGGTTCAGAGATGCGTGATTCCTGCCAACATGCTGGCAGGAAATACCAGGGAGGGGGGTGGGGAAGAGGGTCTGCTGGCAAAATTCAATTTCTACCCTCAAATACACACGCTCCACATTATATGGTTAAAGGAAAGAACCTGGGCAGCTCCTAAGCCCTTTTCCTGGCTCGACCACGGGCTCACCAGCAGCTATACATGTGCAGACACACATGCAGGCTAGAACCTAACCCAGAACATTCTACATGGGGAACCCAACCCAGAATCCCCTTGGACACCTGCACAGCCTTCTGTTCAGACACCACTTTGGGTCATAGAGCAGAATAGTTTCCCCCCCCCAAGAAGGATGATATTTGCTTTTCAACTAACATACGTTCCCAGGTCTGTCTGGGAGGGACATCTATAACAAAGCGAGGCTTGCCGGCATCTGCAGAAACTCCAGCTAAGAACTGACCTGTGGGATCAGAACCAAGATTTTGTCTTGGCCCCTACACCTGCAGACTTGGCAAAACACTGAAGTGTGCATAGAGCTGAGCCAGAAAACTGGGGTGAAAAAAATACATCATTCCCATGACATGCGCTTGTGAAGATACATCCAAGAGCAGGATAAGTTATAGCTTTTTTTTGCCTGTAGCAAAATCAAGACTTCTGTACCAAGGCAGCCCATAAATAGGCTCTATGGACCGGACTCTCATCTCACTCGCACCAGGGCAAATCCCAAGTACATCCATTGGGGCAATGGAATTGTACTGGTGTGAGGAGAGACGCAGGCTCTAGCAGCATTTATATATTCAGAGTGCAACTCCCATTCACTAAATAGAATCAGGATTTCACCCTTTGTCTCTGAATCAGAAATAAAGTGAAAGGTTTAAAGACGTGCTCTTGTCTCAGGGAAGTTTCAAAGTCATCCCATTTCAAGATAATGCTGCTAGGCCATATTTCTCTTCCTTGGTTTCTTCTTGCTATGAACAGGTGCATGGAACTAGGATCTCTGTTGCATCCTTCATCTAAATGGATGGCCAACTGCTTACCTTACTGAGTGAAAACAAACTAGAGGCTTGATTTCAGTGGAAGCTCATCCCAACCTTTACTCCTACGCACATTCACAGCCCACCCCTCATGAGCACACAATCACCTGAGGGCAGATTCCATCACTTGCACACAGAGGTGAGGGACTGCTCCAGAGCAAATGACCTGTGACCATAGTCCCTGCAGGGCACGGTATCCTCCTTCACTCCCTGTCCTAAAACTGAGGTGTAAGGATTGCCAGAGGCACATCAAACACCTGCTCCACCCCCGGTTCGGTGAAGATGAAGCTATTCCTGCACATTTGTTTAAAAAGAAAAATGTAAATGGCGTTCTATGGGATGAGCAGTGCTTTATAAATGCCGCTTATTATCCCAGAATAATTATCCTATTATTCAACCCTCCCCAAACGCTAAACTGGATCCTTTTCAGCGTGTCTACTGAAGAGGGTAAACAAGCTGCTATGAAAGCGTTGCTCTTCTGCACAGGGCAGGGGGGAACGTCGCCCTAGGCGGACAAAGGCACCAGCTGAGGCATCTGCTTTTTCTAGACTAGATCTATTCAGCTTGATCATCCAGGTGACACAGCCGCGTCAGAGGCCAGTCTGATGGGATTGGGAGCGTTGCTAGCCGCTGAGCTCTGCATTGCCACACACGAGACCCAGGCTTGTTTCCTAGTTCCAGTCTCCCATTCCTTGGGCCACCAGTGGCTAAGGGTTCTGTGGGTACCAGACACACAACCCCACCACAACCCCCCCCCCCCCCCCGAGAGCAGCAGGAGACGTGACTCACTAAAGAGCACACCCAGCCCTCGGGAAGACGTGTCGTGGCCTCTGTTGGGACTCCTGACCCGGCCTCCCTCGACCATTAGGACGAGGAGTATCCCCCATGGGAAAAACCCAGGCACATCGGCAAAATTCACAGCTCCAAACAAATGGAGCTAAATGATCACACAGGCAGGACATAAGCCAGAGATAAGAGTCCTGCCACTGGGCATGACGCAGGCACCAGCCAGAGACAAACACAGCCCAGTGAACCACCGTTAGTCTAACCAGAACGTCCAAACAGTTCTTGTTCCGCCTAACATTTTCCAGATCGCCAGTCAAACAAATGGCCCCACGGGGTTAAAGGAATGTCCACTCAGACAAACATCTCATTTTCTGGACAGACCTGCTGCTCTGGGCAGCACTGAAAGGGTTAAAATGCCATTTTGGGGTTTGTTTGGTTTGGTTTTTTGTTTTTTTTGTTTTTTTAAACATGCAGTGATGCAAATACATCCCACAGCTCCCAGCAAGGTACATTTGGAGCCTTTATCCAGACCTGGCACATCAGAAATATCAGCGCGTGAACAGAATGACTTTAGTGGCATTTGCATTGACCCCGTCTGCATGCGGCGCAGAGTGGGGCAGAAATCCTACGGACAGGGAATGGGGGTACTGCAAGAAGGGGACCGGTGCCTAGGCAGTAGGTTTCCATGGGGCATTCACTAGAGGAGTCTGGGCGGGGGAGGCGGAGTCATGCTGCATCGCACGTATGTTATACCAAAACCTACCATCTAACTTGGCACCCATGCTCGGTGACCCACAGGGTAACGATCCCAGCACTCCTGCCAAACGAAGAGCCAGTGTAGGGCCACAAAGGAGTCTGCTGGGAGCAATGGAAGATGTCGTCCCAGAGCTACCTTTGAATAAACAGCGTCCAGGTCTCACGCAGCTAAAGCCACTCCAGCAAGACAAGAGAAAATGGGGAGTTTGGGGGGCCTTCAGCTCCAGCCTTAGGAGCAGAAGCTGCTGAGCCCGTGTTGGGATTGGTCCCTGCCTGTTTAAAAAAACCCAGGGCAGGAGAAGAGACCAAAGTGTCACTCACCATGCTGAATATCCTTCCAGAGGACCCAGTACTTGGAGTTATCTTCAAAGGTCACAAGACAGCTCTTTTTAGAGCCACTTACCTGTGCAAACAAGAGAGACGTCAGGTGCAATTTTATCCCCTTCATGTTAAGCATTTTTTTTTAAACTCACAACATTCTGACAGCTTTGCTGCGGGAACTCGCTGCAGCATGTGAATTTTAAAGGAACATCCAGTTGCATTTTGCTTTGGTGAGGGATGCCAGACTAACAGCCCTGAAAACCAAAGCTGGCTGTGTTGCCACCTATCAGACGCATGGGCAGCACCAGCGCCCAGCCCTGCTGTAGAATACCATCGAGAGATGAGAGAGTATTTGTTCCCACACTCATCCAGCCCTTGGCATCTCTGCTGAGGAGCCCACTAACATGACGACCTGCTTACCCTCTAGAAACTGGACTGAAGTGCAGCTCATCTCACCAAACAGCCATCAAATGAAATGATTTCTGGTCACCACTGACATGGGCTGGATGGAAACCAGCAGCCTAAGAATGAGTCCCCAAATCTGCCAAGCCACCCACCTGCAGAATTGGTCTTAACCCCAGTAGTCGGGCTGTTTAGCATCTCAGCACAATCACTGGATGTGTCCCACTGACCCTGGACAGCTTTCACAAGCCTATTCTTCCTGTTAACACTTAGCCAGCATCTTCCACGGAAGGCTCTCAAATTACTTTACAAAAGTTGGGCATGTGTTAAGGTTTCCCCCCATTTTACAGGTAAGTAAACTGAGGCACAGAGAGGTTATGTTTCTTCCAACATTACACAGGAAGTTGGTGGCAGAGTCAAGACTAGAACTTGTGGGAAATAAAAAGTACAAATGTTGCCATAAAATTGCACATGAAATATGTTGCTGGGGTTTTTTGTTTCAGGTAATTTGATAAAATGCCAACTTCCAACAAAAATATACAGATGCATGGAGTGAAAATTACAGATGCAGGCATTATACTGTCAATATAATAATGCCTGCATCTGTAATTTTCACTCCATGCACCTGAAGAAGTGGGTGTTTTACCCACGAAAGCTTATGCCCAAATAAATCTGTTAGTCTTTAAGGTGCCACCGGACTCCTCATTGTTTTTTGTGGATACAGACTAACACGGCTACCCCTCTGATACTTCACTGTGTAAAGTTACTCAGGGATCCCCTTCACTCGCCTCCTCACTCCCCCCGCCCCCTCGCCCCAGGCAGCAGCAGCAGCAAGACGTGGGAACCGCAGGGAAGGTCAGAGCAGGTAGGGGAAAGAGGCGGGGAGGGGGGCGGCACCAGGGCCCAGGTGTTGGGCAGCAGGGACGGCTGTGCTAGGGGAGGCAATACCTCCCCATGCCTATTATACCCTCCGCCCATGCCCAACGTATGTGAAAGAAGCTGTTCTCGGGGGCCTGGAGAGAAGGAGATAAGACTGGGGACTTGCGCACGTGGAGGAGGAGTTGCTCTTGGAGTCTGACAAACCTCCAAACAGATTTGCAGGGGTCAGTCCCCTGTGAAGCAAACTGCAAGGCTTAGCCTGGGAAGCCCTTAGGAAATGAGCCCAGGAAGGTTTGCACAGGTCTAGTGTTAGCAGAGAAAAGGGGCTTCTGTTTAGCTCTTTAAAAAGAGACAGATGCATTCGCCCAAACTGGGACCTGAATCCAGATTTCAAAACACCCAAAGTTTGAGGGTACTTGAAGGCAGGATTTGGGTCACTCCCATTATTGAGATATTGGGATTAGGATCTGCTGGGAAGTTCAGATCAGGATTCAGGTTCAGAGTCCAGCCCCCCAATAAAACTTGGAGCATTTGGATCTAGGTTCTGATTCAAGCACATCTCTGGTATATAAGTAAGTAATAGAAAACCATGTTAGATTGCATAGAGCTTTGAACGCCTACTTTACCCTCTTGATCTTTCCAATGTAATAGAGTCCATCAGTCCACCTGCAGAGCACATACTGCCCCTCCGTCAGTTTGACCATCAGATCTTTGCAGCCACTCCCATTCGCAGAAGAGTTGACCGCTGCTTGTTGCAGGTGGCTGGCAGCTGCATAGACATCTCGGATGATTGGGTTGTGTGTGCCGTTCTCCATGAGCCTCAGCAGACACTGCCAATAAAATACACAGTCAGTGACTTTTCCATCACAACTTAGGGAAAAGCTAGTTCTGATGATGCAAACTCTCCAGTCCTGGGAGCCATTGGCACCAGTCTCACCATCCTTAATCAGGCAAAGCTCTCACCCACTTTATTGGGAGTTTTGTCTCTATAATGTTGCAGATCTTATGCATATCACAGGATTATTGCTCGTGTAATCCACTCAGTGTGGCATTCTGTTCCCCTATAGTAGTGTCAGGGCCACAAACAGAGGTTGATGAACCTGCGTCAGCCTTGGCGAATAGCCACTCTTTTAGCTCCAGCTGTAGAGGCGTATGCTTTTAGAACCAGAGGTCTCAGTCTACAGTTGAGAAAACAAGTTATATTGGCCTTCAGTTAACAAACCCGAGGGAAAGGGGATACAGCTAAGATCATAATGAACAAAGAGAAGAGTTCCTCTGGTACCACTCATTTCAGAGGGCTCCGTCAGGTCTGAAATACTTTGGCCAAAAGGCATGCGTTTGAAGGGTTGACAGAATTTACTTTTTATTTCTGTGAATTTTAATTCAAACATTTCTCTGCACTTTTTAATAAACCCCAAATCCAGCAGCACCTGACCAAGGCACCAGCATGAAAATTAAACTGACTATAAACAGAAAGTGATACTGACCCTAAAGAAAGTTTCACTCCCCTAAAGAAGTGAAGAGCAAAAAGTAAACAAATGGCATCAAGTAAATTTGATTTTTAAAATACTTTCAGTTTTAATAATCATCGATATCATTAGTAAACACAGATGAGAGAACATCATTGAGTGATATACGATTTTTATCTTGATACTGTCCCTTTAAGTGCAAAACACACTTCTGCCTTAGTTTATGCCCTGGAATTGATTTAAAATATAAACAACTCAATGTGTTTTACCCTGGGGACTTTGCACGCAAACATGAATACACCCTGCAAACTACCAATAAGATTTACAGCTTCGATGAGACAAATTTTAGTGGTTAGCGAGTCTCTCAACTAAAGTTCAGGCAAGTCTGTCCAAAATGTAGCCAAGCAAAGCAAACCCCGCAATACAGCATGATCTCTGGGCAATCACATCTGCGAGCTGCTACATGCCACTGAAAAATGCAAGTCACCCTCTGATCTGTTTTCATATTAAACCAGACTATGTTTCAGTTTCCCCTTAAGTCAATGGGAGACACCCACTGACTTCAGTGGGAATTTGGTTTGGCCTTCAGTTTAGTAAAACAAGTACTATTAGGGTTATTATTCTGAGACAGATGGCAGGTACCAGAGTTACAGAGACAGAAAGGCTAAAGCAAGGGAGGACAGGGCTTTTGAAACTCCCATCCACGAGTATTGGGCAAACTTCATTTTGAAGGTTTCTTTTCCCAACTATCTTAACCTCTTGAATCCACAGAACTAGCCCGGAAATTCCTAGAGAGCAGCCTCACTCGCTCTTGGTGTCTGTGCTCTGGGACAGAACCCGGAAGTGCAGAAAGCATGCAAAAAATAACATTTGAATGGAAAGAAAAAAAAAAATCTCCTTTCCCCATCCTTCACGCATAAATGTCTAGTTTCAGGGCAAAGATTCAAGTCATGTATCCGTACCGGTTCTCCCAGCTCTAGTCTCACTGGGCCCTCCTCACTGGACCATTTGTGAAGTAAGATGCTACCCAACAGGGAGAGTCTGAGAATCCAGCCTTTAGCTATTATTACCAGCTAACAATCAAAGGCAGCCTTCACTCAGGAGAGGATCCCTTTGACATCAGGGGGAATTTTGCCAGAATAGGGACTGGAACCCCTAATTCAGTGTAATCATCAGGATGATCTTTTCTCACACAGGCCCCTGGCATTGCCTGATACGCCCAAGCAATGCAAATCTTTCCTGAGGATTCACAGGTGAGTCTAAATAGGTATAACTTGCACACCAAGTGGGCTAGAAGAGGAATCGACAAACACCAGTTTAGATTCCCCCCTGGATTTGGCCCTATTCAAGCAAAGCTGGACTACTCCTGGGAAATGACACATTCCCAGCTTGTTAAATATTTGCTAGAGAGCAAGGCACCTTTCCAGGCAAGTCCAAGGCAGTCAGTCCCAAACTGAAAATACCTCCCTTGTTTTCCAGAATAATGGCTGGAATCATATTCCTTTTCTTTGCATCTCACAGAGAATATAGCTAAAGACAGGAAGAGCAGCCCGCCCAGGAACACTCGGTCTCTCCTTTCACTGAAGTTAAAAAGGAGTGTTTGTATTTGGGCCCCCATCCCCAGCAGAAATAGAAGCAATGCCTCTGCCGCTCGCGCCAGGAAGCGAATATCTGAAGATGAAAAATCGCTGCCAGCCCGAGGAACGTCAGAGACTCTCCTACATTCCAGAGACATGAATCCCCTTTTCGGGAAGGACCCTGTGGCCTCTCCAAGGAAAAGCTTCCTACGCTAATTACTCAGCCCTCCAAAGGGCAGCCTCTGCCAGTGCTCAGATGGGAATCGGACGGGCACACAACGGGTCTGTGCCCAACGCCCAGGCTAGGGAGCAGCCCGGGCGGTGACACGAGCCAGGTCCTCGCGGCTCTGCGGTGCTTTGGGAAGTGCAGCTGGCAAATCGCCGGCTCCCCAGCCTCCCCTGGCTTCAGCAAGGGCAGGTTCATTCAGGGGCACCTCTTGCCCCCCAGTCCCCCCCCTCGATGGGTGGAAAAGAGCATCGGATGGGAGTGGGCGCCCCATGTCCCAGCGCTGGGAAAGAAGGGGGCAGCGCTGTGAATTGGGGGGGGGGGGCACCCAGCTATACTCACACCCTCCCCGATGTCCCTTCCTCCCCCCCTTCTTACTCTGCAACAAATCTCCCTGCTGCGTGCACTTACCTAGGAGCCGGTCGCCCACAGAGCTGTGATTGGCTGATTCAAAAACATTCAAAATTAAATCCATTTTTGGGGGGGGACATGGGGGGGGTGAGACACACACGGTCCCCGGCCAACCGGAGTCAAGCGGCAAACGGGCCCCCCGACAGGGCAGGGGGCGGCTGCGGCGCATACACCGTCCCAGACACGCGGGGCCCAAACTCGCGTGGAACAAGGCACCGCTCTCGCCTCTCTCGCTAACTTTCCTGCGGCGGCCAGCAGCCGCCGAGCTGCCAACGTGCCTGAACTAACAATCGCTCTGGGCAGAGGGGCTTGTTCCAATCGGGGGGTTTTAAATTAATGCAACACCCCCCCAACCCCCTCCCGGAGGAAGCAGGCTCAGCCCGTGGCGAAGCCCGGCAGGGGGGCATGTCAGGATTTGCCAAAGGACCCCCCCCCCCCAAAAAAAATCTAGATAAACCTACGAGATACAAGAAGTCTTGGGGGGGGGAGTTTCCTTCTCGCCTGGATCTCCAAGCGGGGACACCCCCTCCCCGAGCCGGCAGCGGCAGGTCGATGCAGCCCCCCCCCGTGATCACCTTGCAAACTTTGCGCGAGCCATCGCCGGGGTCCCCCCCCGCCCCGGGACCCCCCTTACCGCTCCGCCAAGTCCTCGGGGCTCAGCGCCGGGCGGGGGGCGCAGAGCGCTGCCCGCGGCCGGCTCAGTGCCTGGGGCGCGGGGTCCCCCCAATGCCGCCCCCGGCTGCGCCCCGGCTAGCAGCGCTGCAGGCGGGTGAGGCGGGGCGCCATCTTTTTCACTTTTTCCCGCGAATTATTTACGTTTTGCTTATGTAATTAGCACGGGCCCCCCTCCGCCTCCTCCGCCCGGCTCCATCCTGCAGGAAGCCGGCAGCGCCCGGAGCCTGACAGCTCCCCGCCGGCTGCATTTAAAGGGAACGTGCCGCCGGCTTGGGCCACCCCACGCCACGCGCCCGGCCAGGCAGTGCCACCCGCACATACCCCCACGGACACGCGTGCACACACGCGCCGCTCTACCCTCAGAGGGACACCACAGTGTACCTCCTGAAACACCCAGTTCCACACACACACCCCCTCCCAGCTATGCGCACAGCGGTGCGGACAGAAACACACACTCAGATACACCTGTCCACATCTACAGGTAGCTACACCCAGAGCCACACACCGAAACACATGGGCACACACAGCCATGCATACGGCAAACACAGAGCAGATATTTGTACGCACACACACACACACAGAGCGATGCACACAGCAGTGTACCCAACAATAGACAGAGGGAAACACACACTCAGATACACCTGTACACATATACCCAGAGCCGCACACAGAAACCCATGTGCACCCACACCTATGCATGCTGCAAACACAGAGCAGATATTTTATACACACAAAGCCAAGCTACCCACAGAAATACACTATCTCCTCCACTCAGACCTGTTTCTCCACCTGCCCCACACTAACCCTGTGGTGTAGGATGGAGTCATGCAAATGCTGTTGTTTTTCTCTTTTGAGAGAATTTCTAGACTTTCGCTTTTTTCTTTTCACCTTCCTATATGTTAAAATTTAGCCTGGCCAGTCCACTGAGGATTTGAGTTCCCATCTGCTTGCACCCCCTCTTCAATACACACACACGGCCTGTGAGTGGCAAGGATGTAGATAATCATAGAATCATAGGACTGGAAGGGATCTTGAGAGGTCATCTAATTCAGTCCCCTGCACTAGTGGCAGGACTAAGTATTATCTAGACCATCCCTGACAGGTGTTTGTCCAACCTGCTCTTAAAAATCTCCAATGATGGAAATTCCACCACCTCCCTAGGCAATTTATTCCAGTGCTTAACCATCCTGACAGTTAGGAAGTTTTTGCTAATGTCCAACCTAAACCATCCTTGCTGCAGTTTAAGCCCATTGCTTCTTGTCCTATCCTCAGAGATTAAGAAGAACAATTTTTCTCCCTCCTCCTTGTAACAACCTTCTACATACTTGAAAACTGTTATCACGTCCCATCTCAGTCTTGTCATCTCCAGACTAAACAAGCCCAGTTTTTTTCAATCTTCCCTCATAGTTCATGTTTTCTAGACCTTTAATCATTTTTGTTG